AGGCCAAATGGGTGGGAGTAGAGTATTCCACAGGGTCAAGGTCACAGTACAAATGTTATTTTCCTGTCTGCTGGAATCCCTTAGCTGATAGGTACAAGTATGGTGGGCCAGTTCCATTAGAGTAAGATGGCTCCTCAAATACGCTGTACCCATGTCATGTAGCATTTCAAAGGTAATAATCAACACCTTGTATTGGACCTGGAAGAAACTGGTAAATAATGCAGCTTGTGTAACAGCAGTGTTATATGTGACACCCTAAAGGCCCCCAGAATTGTGCATGCCACTGCATTCTGTACCAACTATAGCTTCTGAATATTCTCCAAGGGTAACTTCATTAGATTAAATTGCAGTAATCCAACTGAGATATGGGTATGAGATATCACTGTGCTCAGCATCTCGTGATCCACTTAAGGATGAAAATTTTATGTGAAAAAGTTGCACATAAAGTTGTGCAAAGGCCCTCCTAGCCATGACTGACAACTGCTCTATGAGCAGGAGTCATGAGTCCAGGAGAACTCCAGATTGTGCACTTGGGTAGTACAACCATATCCAGAATTAAAGATGATAACCACTGGATCCTGAGGTATCTTGCACCCACAATCATTCTGTCTTGTCAGGATTCAACTGACAAGCTTGTTGTCCTCCATCAAGACCCCAGACACTGGGAAAGAACAGCCACAGCATCACCAGGATGTCATCAGCATACTGATAATATCTCATCCCATGGTGTTGGATGATCTCACCCAGCAATTTCATATAGATATTTAAAAAGAGTGCAGAGAATACCAAATCCTGTAGCACCCCACAAAGGAGAGGCCATGTTTTTATTTATTTATTTATTTATTTTTGTCAATTGCTCACAAAATAATAGGTATAAGTAAAAACATAGCTATGAATACATGGATACATATAAGAAAAATAAAAAATAAAAATAAAACAAACAATAGTACAGGGATGATAGGCACGTTGGTGCATTTATACATGCCCCCTACAGACCTCTTAGGAAAGGGGTGAGGTCAATAGTAGACAGTCTAAGGTTAAACTTTTTGGGGTTTGGGGAAGAAACCAGAGTCGGGTAGAGTATTCCAGACATTGACCACTCTGTTGCTGAAGTCGTATTTCCTGCAATCAAGTTTGTTGCGATTAACCTTGAGTTGTATCTATTGTTTGCTCTTCTGTTGTTATGGTTGAAGCTGAAGTATTCATTGATGGAGGTAGGACATTGCAATGTATGATTTTATATACTATACTTAGATTGGACTGAAGGCGGCATAGTTCTAGGTTTTCTAGGTCTAGAATTTTGAGTCTGGAGGCATAAGGTATGCCTCCAGACTCCTCTACTGCAACGAGTAGAGGAGTGGAGAACTCTTCTTGTGAAATATTTCTGGACTTTCTCAACTGTGTTAATATCAGATACGTAATGTGGGTTCCAGACTGATGAACTGTATTCGAGTATTGGTCTAGCAAAAAAAAATTTTTAAATAAACTTTTATTTGGGTTTTCACACATACAAAATACAAGTAAAGCATCTTTTTTGAAAATAGTAAAAGAGGCGAATAGTTATTATTCTCAGCCGAAGCTGCTCCGAAACTACCAGAAACGAAGGCAGGCAGGCAGGCAGAACGGAGCACTGGATTGAACCGAGGGCGGCGGGGTGGGGGTGAACGGGCGCTTTGGAGGAGCTGCGCCAACAGGAAAAGCCACCCTGCCGGCTTCTTTGAAGCAGTTTCTTCCTGGGCTGGTGGAGGAGCAAGAGAGCGACTGAGAGAGGAACGAGGCGGGAGGAAACCGAAGCCACTGAGCCGGAGAGTAGGACAGGCTTTGGTTGCTTCCTCCCTCCCCTTCTTTCATTTGTGTCCTTGATCCCTGATCCCAGCAGCATTCACTGAAGGGGAAGAAAGCCGCCATTTTTTTATTTTATTTTTATTTGCGGCCCAGTACAAAGTGATCCACGGACCGGTACTGGTCCGTGGCTTGGTGGTTGGGGACCCCTGTTCTAAATTATTCCCATGCTTAGGAATAGTTAAAAGAATAAGACCTCCCCACCCCCTTGTGTCTCTCAGGTTACATGGGCCAATCTTAGTCCAGATGTAGCTTCCCAGTAAACCTCAACAGGTGTCCATTGACATAACCTTGATTCTCACGGTGGCTGGTGGATGTTATGGCTTGCCAGCTGAGGCACCCCATTCTTGAGTCCCCCCCATGATCTCCCCCTCTCCCTTGAATGGCAATCAAGAAATGAAGCAGAAATAAGTTTGGCTTCAGCTGAAGTTGTTTTGCAGGCTGACACCCAGCTGAAGGATGTCCACATTATTTCATCTAGGACCCTCTGGAGCTGCAGTGCAATAACTTTTTCTACCACCTTTCCTAAAAAAGTAGAGGTGATAAACTGGATGGGAAATTGTGCTGGCAGATTGGGCCTAATGATGGTTTCTTGAGGTGGGGGTGGATCGAGGCATCATTAAATGATGCCAGAAATACCCCTCCTGCAATGATGTAATCACTGCCTGGACTCACCTGCTGGTTGCTCTCTGAGGGCTTTTACCATCCAGAAGGTACAAGGATCTAACAAGGACAGCTGCAAAGAACCTATCTATTACCTCAGGTCCAATAGGGTCAAACTGTTCCTGGATAACTAGGCAAGTCTGTTCCCTGGGTATCTCTAATGGACCTGCTCCGTGTGTGATCTCAAACTAAACAGATCTGAGCAATTTTATCAGATGCTTGACAGCCCTGTGAGTGTTTGTGTGAGCTTTCCTTCCCAAGGAGGGACCAGGGCCATCAGGCAACACTCTGTGGATGCAACAAGAATGGAGAAATAGTGGTGTTTCACTGCTCTTACCATCATCATGTAGGCCTTAATAGTGGCTGTGACTTATATCCAGTTGGTTTGTTCTGAGTTTTCTTCCAGTGGCACTCTAGCAGTCATTTGGGCTTTTTCAGCACCCTCACCTCCTCTGCAAACCACAAGGATTTTTGGGAGCATAGGGCCATGAGAGGGTGCATGGGCACAATCATTTCAGAATAACAGAGTTGGAAGGAACTTTGGAGGTCTTCTAGTCCAACCCCCTGCTAAGGCAAGAAACCCTATACCATTTCAGACAAATGATTGTCCAATCTCTTCTTAAAAGCTATAGGCTTTGGCTGCTTTTTGATTCAAGATTGTGGCCAAAACCTCCCAGGGCTCCCATGGGAGATTTCCCCAGCTGCTGGAACCTAAGCAAGTCCACAAGGCCCAGTCTGTCTGCTATCTTGGATTCAAAATATATTCATTCTTTTTTTAAATCAAAGAAATGCACCACTCTAAAGTAGCAGTCTTTCAATAGTTTTGAATTTCAACCATGTCAATTTGAAACAACATTCGTATTTGAGATGCATGACAAAAAAACCCCAATGTTTCTCATATGAATCTGAAATTCTACTATTCAAAGAAAACCCTAACATGTAAGCATTTCTTACTTAGTTGATCACACTGGTATAGTTTGGCTCAGCATATGAAATTTTGATTCTATAAGTATAAACAATCAGATGTCAAACCTACCTGATTGAATTCCTACAGTAGAGTTGAGTCATATTCTTAGACTTAGCAGTTGTGTCATTTTAAATGAAACTTTGTTTTCAAGCTGTGTTGATATTTCTTTCCTGTCTATGTATGCTTTGAATTATTTTGAGCTTGAGGTTTTTTACACAGTAAACCCGGGACTCTGGAGCCAACAGCATTACCTCTGTAGATCGCTTAAAGTAAAGTCACAAAGATCTAGCAGTGATATTTGCTTTGGTTTCAAGCCATTGGAATGTTTTAAGGCACAAAGCACTAGGCAAGCAAAAACAAAAGCTTCTGGAATTCTTTCTTTGTTTCATCACAAACAGTGCAGTGTGAACAAATGGCACTTGTAAAATTCTGGATAATCAGATAGTCTTCTCCTTGGAGTAGAAACTGCTTCAACTTTATTTTTAAGCTAAAAGACAGTTTGTTCATTCATCTATGCCTATATTGTTCTATTTGAAGCAGATTCTTGGCTGTGGTTGCTGCTATGAACGCCAAATGACTAAAGAAATTTCAGGTGCCAGCAGATTTTTTATAAAGAAACGTTAAGATAATTTTTAAAGTAAATAAATATATTCAGATTCAATTTTAGATGATTAATAGCACACTGAAATAAAAAAGTACCAGAGCATCTGTGTTAGCCTGGGTAAAAATACTAAACTGCTAAATGCCACATACCAGTCAAAAATTGAGTTTTTATTGATTTCAAAAGAACCAAGTATGAAATAATTTTACTGGAAGATTGTCATTTACAACAGATACTCAGAAAAGTAGATAAATATAGAAACATTTTGATAATTGCAGTGACAAAAGAAAAGTAAGATGGGTTAAAAATAGCAGGAGAAATTTTTGTCTAGGTTCTTGTCCTGTTTCCTTTGCGTTCCTGTTTTTGATTCATCAAAGCCTACCTTTGCTATTTAATGCCCAAAAGCCCTCCAGTAGATTATATCCATGAGAGATGTCTAAGAAAGAGGACCCAAAAGCCAATGTGATAATCACAACCTTTATTAAAGGTAAATACTTACAGGAGTAAACATGTAATGTCCCTCTGACAGACAACGGATATGTATGCTGTGTTCTCCCATGGCATGTCCATGGCAGAGGCTGGTTTGTAACACTTTTATAGCTATGTGCAAAATAAGTTTTGTGAAAAAGTAACTCATCAGCGAAGTGCTCTTCCCATGAACTCCTCAGTTTTTCTGTACTTGGCACAACCACATTGTGGGTTCTCAGATATATTCTGCATCATGCTGGGTATCATTTTTATACTCTGCACTTGGCAATTATTAAACATGGCATTGGTTTGGTTCAAAGTATATATGTACATAGGTTCTTATAAAGGGCAGCAGCAGGAACTTTTAAAATTACAATTTCCTTATGTCTCTTAAAACTTTCTGGAGAGATCTGCTGTTCCACAGAGATGTATCCAGATAGAAATATGCTGAAAGAGATATTTCTTATCAAGGTTTTTTATGTCATTCCCCCATCATCACATTGAATACCTGGAATGCATGTTGTAGGAAAGATATTGCAGATTACTTTTTTCTTGTTTTAGAAAATATCCTAGTATGGCATGGATCAAAGTCAAATTCTACAGAGATGCTGAAAAATAGTGCCCTTGGTTCTTTAACAACAGCAAGCGCCAGTCTATCATTGTCAGTCATACCATCTGTGATACAAGATGAAACTATGGTAAGTCTTGTATGAATATAATTAAAACAGCATTTATAAACTATATTTGAAGGCTTTGCACATATTTTGGGGTGGGATACTGTCATACAGCAATTTGGTTTAGGTTTTGTATCTAGGCATAATAGTTTATATGGTTGGTTTATCAGCAAATTAGAATATGCTGCTTGGGAGGATTGGACTAATCATATCAATGTCTAGTTTACATCTTGAAAGATTCCAAAATAACATTTTGATAAATTTATTTAATTACATAACAGCTTTCTAGAATACCTTCTTTGTTATTCTCTTCTGAAGCTTATATTTTAGGAAGATAGGAGACTATGTTTTAAAAAAGGATTTGTATTTTTAAATATACATCAGTATCACTATATAAACAGTGTGGCCTCTGGGTATAATTTATTTTCATACAAACAGCAGCAGCAGCAGCAACAACAACAACAACAATAATAATATAAAATAAAAATAAAAATTATAAATAAATAGTAAATAAATCAAAAGACGAATATTTCAGGGAGATTCACTATCACCACTTCTATTTGTCATTGCATTGTGCCTCTGTCAACAACACTGAATAACCCAGGCCATGGCTATCAAACATCAAAAACATCTGCCAGACTATCCCACCTCCTTTACATGGATGATCTGAAGCTGTATGGAAAAACACCATTTGAAATAGAATTGCTGCTCAACACTGTTCGTATATAGCCAAGATATTGCAATGGAGTTTGGATTGGACAACTGTGCCACACTCACTATCAAACAAGGAAAAATAGTGAAAACTGATTTCCGGTTTGAAGTTTCTTCGGCGACAGACAGAAATCTGCGATCGTGCGCGGTTTCTGTCTGGGCTCGCCGCTGGAGCACCCCGAGCCGGCTGGTTTCGGGGCTAAGCCACCCCGTAGAGGTGGTGAAGATGGGGGAGACTGCCAGCAGGGTCGAGGAGAGCCGCATCTCTCCTCCTCAGCTGGCCATTACTCCCTTTCCCGAAGGTGGTTGCAGCGGTGGTCAGAAATGGCCACCACAAAGAAGAACTTGACCGGAAAAGAATGTGCAGGAGGAAGATAAGAGGTGAAAGTTTTGGCTGACCGGGTTAAATTGTAAAAGCAACAACTAAGATACCCTGGAATTTAAACTTACAAAAAATAACATCGTTCCCAAAGAAGAGTCGGAAGCAGCGAAGGAAAGTGAAAAGGGAAAGGTTTGGCTTTTTTTCCTTCTCTCTCCTTCCCTATACTGACAACTAAGAGACTTAAATAAGAAATCAGAAAAATCCACTTTGACATCAATAGGCAATTAAGCTGAAAATAAAACAAAATGCCAAAGGGATAATAAAGATTTCTGGACATTAAAAATTTTCTTTTTCATAAGCAGGAAGGGAGAGAAAAAGAATAAGGGCAGAATCTGGAAGAGGGAGGAGACTGCCTGGAATTACAAAGAATCTACAGTAAAACTTCAACAAGACTTCTAAAAGATACGTTTTAACTGAATCTTTGTAACTAAATAGTAACCCCAGGAAGAGAAAGTGAAAAAAAAGAATGAAAAGAAACAGCTTGAGTGTATTTGGATTATTTGGTGATCTTTGGATTCTTGGTTATTATATTTGAATGACTGAAATCAATCGGGTGGTTGTTTAAAAATTTATACAATGGCACCACTTCTGGATGAATTGAAAATGGAACTTAAAAAGTACAAAGAAGATGCACAAGAAGGGAAGGGTTCTTTTGGCTTCATTTTTCAATTCTTAGAAATGGAGATTTGGAACTATGAGAAACAACATGAAACGACTGCAAAACAAGAAAACTGGGACAAAGAAGAAGCCCATCTTTAATGAACAAGCAATTTTATGTGGGGAAGAAAAAGGGAAGAGAATGGAGAATTTAAGACTTAAAAAAACAACCAAAGAAAAAATAATAATTTGAAAAATAAGTATAATACTGGAAAGCAACAGAAAAGGGTAATACAGAAGAGAGAAATAGAGGTAGAGAGACAAGGGGGTAAAAAGGAGAGAGAGAAGAAGAGAGGGAAGAAGGAAAGGAAAAGAAGTTACAAAGGACCGGAGCAAGATATAGAGAAACAGGACCTATTTAGAGATAATGGGTGAAAATCTAACTGAAAAAGGGATTCTGTAAAGGTACATAAGATTGTATTGTTATATTAGTAATAGAAATAACATTTTAGAAAATTGGAAACAACGTATGATTAAAATGAGGGATAAAATAGTTAGTGCAATTTAGTGAAATGTTTGTGAATAAAATAAGTGAAATAAAATAAAATTAAAATGAATTAGGAAGGAACGGGAACATTTTAATTAGTTCATGTTTTATAAAATATAAGTAAGGGGGGTGGAATTAACTATGGAAAGCTTATAATTGTTCCCATAGAAGTATGATATTTAATTGAAAAGTAATGTTAAAGATGTTAAGACTTTAATGAATATTAATATTAATGATAGAATTGAATTCGAATGGAATGTTGTTTTAATTATATACATTTATATTTTTTTTCTTTTTTTAAGAATACAGTGGGTATTTTAAGAATGTACCAAGCAGAATCCGAATGGAAGTTATGTATTATATTGAATGTTATAACTTTAGGGAAAAGATATAAAGGCGTCATACTCCAATCAGTAACTACGGGAGAAATTTTGTTTAATGAGAAAAGGTAATAGATAATTGAAACAGGACAGACAAAAAATATAAATACAATGATTTGAATTGAGATGAGATAATTAAAATAAAATTGAGAAAATTAAAAGAGGGGGGAAGCTATGTAGAAAATGTAAAATAGTAATAAGATATGGAATAGAATATAAAAATGAGCATGAACCTGAATTTGTGTCTGTACGAAGAAATGTAACCCGGGATTACGCTACTTTCAAAAAAGATGTTTTATTTGTATTTTTTTTTCTCTTTGTGAAATCTCAAATAAAATTTACAAAAAAAATATATAGTGAAAACTGAAGGAATCAAGATGCCCCATGAAAATAACATTAAGAGTCTGGATGAAGATGATTACTACAAATACCTGGGTATCTTTCAAGCTGACAACATCAAGCATACTGAAGTCAAGAAAAAAATAGAAGTGAATACATCAAGAGGGTGAAAAAGATCTTAAAGTCCAAACTCAATGGAGGAAATACCTTCAAGGCAATCAACACCTGGGCAATACCAGTCATTAGATACACAGCTGGAATAGTGAACTGGATTCAAACAGAATTAAAAACAACGGATAGGAAGACCAGAAAAATAATGACAATGAATCATGTTCTTCATCCTCACAGCGACATTGGCAAACTTTACCTACCAAGGTAAATAGGTGGGCGTGGAATGTTGCAAGTACATCAGATAGTTGAAGAAGAAAAAGGGGCTTTGGAAGATATCTTTGAAGGACAGTGAAGAAGATGCACTTCTTCATTAGTGTGTCTTCATTAACCAAAGTTAATATGCCAGGAAGGCTTGCTGGCTACCAGAGAGACCAAACTGGCCTACAAGACCAAATGAAGAACAGAATGGAGGCATGGGAAGACAAAGCACTACATGACCAGTACATTAAAAAATAGCAGGGAAAGCAGATAATGACAAGACCTGGCAATGGCTAAGAGCAGGAAAGTTAAAGAAAGTCACCAAGGGATTAATTCTGACTGCGCAAAACCAAGCCTTAAGAACAAATGTATACAAAGCCAGAATTGAGAAGACAGGAACAGACAGTAAGTGCTGTCTATCCAAAGAACCTGAAGAAATAGTGGACCACCTGATAAGCTGCTGCAAGAAGATTGCACAAACTGACTACAAGCAGCGGCATGACAAAGTAGCAACAATGGTGCATTGGAAGATCTACAAGAAATATAATTTGCCTGTAAGCAAGAACTGGTGGGATCATAAAATAGAAATAGTCATAGAAAATGAAAAAACTAAATTGCTCTGGGACTTCAGAATCCAGACAGACA